ATAATCGATACACACATAAAACAAATAATAAATTCTAATGCAGAACAGAACGACTTATAGTCGGGGCCCCTTGGGAAGATTTGATTGGTAAAATTGAAATAAACTCTGCGACTTGAATAAAATGCGATGAATAAAAGTTATTTTTTTTACCAAAAATATTTGTTCTTCATACTTTTCACTGTTTTTTTTTGTTTGTATATCGTTTATACTTTAAATAAAAACTTAAATCAATAAGTAAGAAAATTAGCGAATATGATTGTTTTGTTAAACAACTTTAAATCGTAATATATCCTAAACTATTATTTAAAATGAAAAGTGATAAAAGGAACCTAAAGATGATTTTAAAATACCTATTCAACGACACCCCACTGGACATAGTTCGTCGATTTTTTTTTCATTTTGACAATATGGCGTCTGGTTGTCGCTGTGGTGAATTTTGATTACTGTCATGTCTTTAGTGACACTCGCAAGGTTAAGACGAATCGATTGACGTAAGAATTATCAAAATCGGCCTACGCATTTGTCTCTAGAACGCCACATAGAAACAAACATACATACATACATAGACTGATAAACACATTACCCTCCTTTGCCTCGCGCAGTCGGATAAAAAACTGAAAATTTGAAAAGTTCGAAAGTTAGATATCAATACAAATACGAAAATGTACAAATAGAATATGAGTTGTTTATTGAGTTATGAAAACTAATTTACTTTTAAACGTGAAAGAAAACCGGAAAGATTGTCATGGAGAAATCAAGAACGTACTGTAGCGACATCTAGTTTGATTTCGGGAACTAAAATTTTTTTAAATACTTTCTCATTACATATGCATATCTTTTTTGTTTCAACACATGTCGGTTTTCAATATTCAGAAAAAATAACTATAGGTTTAAAATGAATTATTTGCTATCTATAATGCTTCTTCCAATTATCTTTATTATCCAGCTAACTCTGATAACCTGAAGATTGAACCAAACCGCGACTACAATAAATACATGTTAGATATTAAACATACAGAATAACATTTTTCAGTGTTTTTTTATTTTGATTATGTATATTACCCATCTAAACATTTAAAATTATCCATGTAAAGGAGCTAAAAAATAAAATATACCTTTAATACTTATTATGGAAAATTATAGCATTACCAGTGATAAAAATAGACGAAGATTTATTAAATAATAGTTATTAAATAATTTTATTATTAAAAAAGACTGTCTGACATTGAACATTTTGAACATAACAAATAATTAAATTTATTTGGCATGAAATACTACAACCTCAACTACATTGAGTCTAAAGCGCAAAACTGGCCATCCGGAAGGCCAAGCGGTAATTTACACCACACCTTTTACAGTAGTAACAGAGCACAACTATGGTAGCGTATGGAGCACATCTTGGAAGATTCAGCCAAATATCATCTTGCTGCACTTCTCAGTGGAACGCAGAGCCACAAGACTCATTGGTGACAAAAATCTGGTGTAAGATTTCTGATCTGAAACCGCGTGAGAAATGTGCGCAACAACCGGGGAACGGATTTGGGATAAATATAACTTGGTGTAATGTTGAACATACGAAGACTTGTGTAGTGTTTACTTTACTCAAACACACACATTCGTAGATTATTTTAGCATGGTTTGTGTTATGTCCATTGAGTGTGACATGAGACATAATCACAGCCATGTTATAATATAGGTAAGCCTTATGTTTTTAAAGCGAGGGAGCTCTATTCACATGGTTGTTCGCATTGTTATGCTAACATTTGATGGATATTATATCAACATCCTGGCTAAATTATTCTAAGAACCAAGAATAGTGTTTTGAAGGGAAGAAGTGAGCCTATGTTACAAGGCTTAAAATTTAATCGCCTTTACCCCCAATGGGAACACCAAACATATAACTAAGTACAATCTTTCATTTTGTTATAATTTTTTTAGGGGCGTCGTTCCAGTATTTTGCCTAGGGCTCTAAGTTCCAGATTTTTGCCTAGGGTGCCAAGTTTTATTGGACCAGCGCTGGTAATCAACCCTGTGCTATGTCCGTCTATAACCGGTTCACAAAAATCTATTCTTGGTATTGATTGTACATAACGCCACACACTGGACAGTTTCCCGAATAAACATAAAACATCTAAAGACTAAAGAGTATATTATTGGTATTATCCACAATCTATCATAGGGACAGAGAAAGCGACTTTGTTTTACACTATGTGGTGATAAATGTGTCAGTGGGTGCAACTTTGTAAAGAAATATAATATGAGTAATATTCTAAAATTCTAACAGTGAAATAATTGATCAATCGGACGTCTAACAGATATTAACTTGTGAACCATAATTATATATCATTCATCGTTAAATTAAACAAATATGAACGAAAAAGAAAATAATATCTGTAATTGGCTTTACTCGGTGTTCGAATAATGATAAAATCTTATGCACTCTATTAAAATAAATACTTCTCTGGTATCGTTTCACAGGTCATCGACATGGCATGTCCGCAAGTGCTACATACAATGGACCTAAATTAGTTATCTTATCTTTGGCTTCTCTTCGAAACGTTTAATTGGGCGCCACCGATATCACAACATTATGATTCCTTTTCAACCTTTATTTATATTATTTGGTAATAGTGAAAATTACCTCTAGCGGTAAATAGCCCTTTTAAACTTTAGTTGTTGTTCTACTAATCATGAAACTGAACTTGTTCGATTATTATAAATAAAATCGAAGTTTTTTTAGCTCTCAAAATAAATTTGGTTATTATTTTATGTTTGATTTATTTTATTTTACTGTTATGTTTTTCATAGTAATGGGTCTGTTTTTGGCTCGTGCTGGGGAGTTTCAATTCCATTTAGTGTTCGACTTTCTATCTGACTAAAGTTTATGAGAAGTATACCTTTTAGTGCTGCCATCTAGTGACTAGTAATTTTATTTTATTTAATGTTTCCTCGTTACGCATCGGAGAGTAATCTTTGGTTGTTGCTCAGCATCACACCATGAATTTAATTACTGTAAGTTAATTCTAGTAAGTCGTGGATAGTTTGACTACATGTTTACTTATTTATGTGAAATTTCATGTGTCATTATTAATAAACTATGTAATTATAACTATTCTCAATAAAAATAACAAAAAGTCGTTATCTACCTATTTTCTATCAAATAGTCTAAACGTTTGGATAGCAAACATTACTTATTACTCTTATTTTCGTAGGGTTATAGACCTATTCTTTATATAAAAACCATCATACATTTAAAAGGCTATTTATATTCAGTCAGGTGTAGCACCAAGTGTCAAATAGAATTGTATCATATGGCCGTCGCGTGCGCGTATCTCCTCCGAGCTGCGTAAACAGAGCGAAGTAGCTGGTCCGCTGTTGACCCACGATAACAGTGATAGCCGCGGGTCGCTCCACTAATAACTGTCCACTTCTGAACGCACGCACATCTATTAAATCCATGCCATGTTACGACATCGAGATAGGTACTTATACCTACTCACAATGAACAGTTTATATTATTCACTCTGTGCATTTCTCACTCTTAGAATAAATAGGTATATATTAAAAATACTATGTATTTCTCGATTCACTTAAAGATTACTTCTTTCAAATTTAACTTCATAATCAATCATATAAATTATGCTTTACATACCGGCTCTCTGTACCATTGATATAACGATAAAAGAAAGGATAGGCTTTTTAAATTTGCTTGTTTTGAGACTACTTTTTAATACACAATAAGAGTTGGCTTCTTTATGTAGTAAAAACAAGATTTATTTGCTAACCTTAGTTTCTAACTTGTAAATAAAGGTTTAAAATATGATGAAGTGACAATAATTATCGAGTTTAAATCTGGTAGCAGCCTCTTTGATCTAGACAGAAATAATATTGATCAATAAATAAATGCAATATAAACAAATAATATTTTCCACATAAGCGGCATTTCATAAATAGCTTGACGTTAGTTGTTTATTGACAAAACTGACTTCCATATTTTGAGAACCACCCATTTGTGACAAATCATCGCTTTGGCGGTTATTCATGATGCAGTATACTAAAAATATTTATTTAATGATTAAGTAATACACAACTTGCTTCATTTAATTGTTATTGGCTTAGTGAACTGATGATTTAGTTAAACAAGTGTTGAGTACATTGCAAAAGCATTTTAAATAATTAATCAGTTTATAATATTTTATTTAACACAAATAGGGCACACTCAAGTACATTAACAACTTTTTTGATCAACAAATCAAATAGTCATATTATTTGATTTATTGATCAAAAGGAGGGGGGGGGGGCAATAAATAGTGATGTTATATGAAAAGGGGTAGATGGGCCAAAATTTTGTTATACATATTACATTTCAAAATCTAAAACATAACATTTGGAACTTATTTCAAATTAAATTTAAAGGAAAATAAAGGTAATCTTAAAAGTGCTTTCATTTTATAAATAATGTGTAACTAATACTTCAAATATAACTATTAGTACAACTCAGGTTTAGTCTCACAAATGTGACCAGCTGTAACATAGAAGGGGAGGTTGTAAAAATATTATAAGATTGATCTTGAAATTACTTGGTGCCTTTTCCTATTTGCTTGGGCTGACAAGTAGTTAGTTCTTATTAGAATTATTTCTTAATCAAAATTAATCAAATGAAGTTTCTCCAAATAATCTATTTAATAAGTAACTTATAACATATAAGCATAAAAAACACAAAATTAGTTCATAACAGCTCAAATAGTGTTTTTTCTTGGGTTGTTTGAAACTTGTTACTTCTTGGGGGTATATCCATGCCAGTGGATAAAATATCTGGAGACACACCTGTAAGAGCTATCTACGAAAAAGTTAAATAGGTACTAATTCAATTTCAGTCTACATACGGAAAATGCTTTTTAAATCAAAAGACAGCTATTGATGTTTTATCTATAAAGATGTTGAAAATCAACAAAGCAAAGCACTGATATAGAAAATAAATGCTATAAATTATAGCTTACCTCTCGCACCATTGCCCTGGTTCACCGAAGGGCTGTTTATTTTGATGGGTCGTCCGTCCGCCGTGCATTTTAATAACATATTTCCTTCATGTGTTCACTTTTTGTGATCCATTTATTTATTTTTTACCACTAAACAATAGCACTGTCGTACCAAAACATGGGAGAAATCTCTTGCAATGTTGTTTTTCTTTCGCGCCAACTGATTGGTTGGCTCACGTGACGTCAAAGTCAATTTGATTGAAACCACTAAATTGACACAAAAAAAACTAAATTCTATAATAGTCCATAATCAACAATTTCATGCACTAAGCACAATTTATGATGTTCACATAACACTATTGACGCTCCAACAAAGTTTTTGTTATAGTGGTTCACGCGAAACGAAACAACCGACGAATATGTATAAAAAGCAGTCGTAACACTCACTAAATGAGCAACAGGCTATCTAAACTGACATGAAGATGGTGTATTTGCGACATTTACAAGGCAAGGCAAGACAAGGTCGCAAACGTCAAAAAAGATTTTAAAGCAAAGGAATCTTAGTCCATGCAACTTAGTATTACAAAATGTTTTCTGTTGTTTTTATAAAATGTTGGCATTTGACGACGAAATTTAATCGTTTTTAGAACGTGGTGCCAGATTACACTCATGAATTACAACGAGTCGGTCATTAGATTTTGACAATATATGCGTACAACAAATAGTACCGTTAACAAATAAACACTGTTTGACGAGTATTAGTTGGGTTCTGTTAAGATCACACACAATTTTGTTCATCAGTGGCGGACTAAAGAGGGGACGGTCCGTCCCTGGCCTCCGATCCTGGGGGCTTCCAAATGGTTGCAGCCATTTGCCAAAATCATAATAATATAATAAAACTAAAAATGTATAATAAATATAAAATCGCAATGAAAAGTTGGCTGCCATGGTTGTAAAAAAATATCGAACCGGGGTTATTGCTGCCTCGGGCCTCCGATAAGGTTAGTCTGCCACTGCTTGTCATTTTATTATTACTTTTGGTTATGTATTAAAAATGTCCATTCCGTGTGTTATTGCGTTTTTACAAAGTAAATGTTATTTTTTTTCCGTCACTCCGGTATTCCTTATTTCATAAGCTATCTGCCAGTGAAAGTCGCGTCAAATTTGGTCTAACCGTTTCAGAGTTTAGCCGGAACAAACCGACAGACAAAAAGTGTAAAAAATATTATTTTGATATAGGTATGTACCGTGTATACTTACATGTGCATTTAGTAAGAAACGGTTAATTTGTATTTGTTAAAATAAAACTGCAAGATCCGTTCATTAATTCATCAGGAGTTCCCCGACCAAAGAGTAAAGTTACCTATTTGTTCGTGCGAGTATTCCAGGATTCTATCTACTAATAATATTCACACTCGCGATCCGCTATCGGTTGCTGATCCATCGAAGTAAAGTAAGTAGGTACTATCCTAACGTTTTAAACTATTCCTATGCTTACGTTTAAAGAAATAATTGATGGTTAATCGTCGATTACGTAATAATAATCGATAGCAACTGATTATTTGAAAAATCGATTAATCGATTAATGGTAATCGTTTCCGCACACCATTAATTATTTAGTAAGCCAACAAATGCCAACGAATGATCACTCTTCATGTGTTGCCCTCCTTTAATTATACTTTTTAGTCGGAAAAAGTACCGTTTATCAATTCGTTTTTATAATTTTCTATAAAATGAACAGCCTTTGTGATTATTATTAATAGATGTGATTTGTATAATACCAAAATTATTTTATCAACGTTGGTTTTTCTTGGTACGTTTAGAGTATTAATCCGCTAAGTTTGTATAAATAGTTGTAGTTTCGATTATTTACTGGAAAATATCGATTCATCAGGTATTTTGATACCGATAAAAATCGATTCAATTAAGCATATAAAAAATCGAGAGAATTTTGATTATCGTATTGGACAACACGTAGTATCATAGATAGCGTAGTTGGTCTGTGGAACAACCTGACGACCGGCGTTGAGCAGGGCGCGCCATTTTGGTTATTTTGGCGGCTTTTAGATCAGACAGAAGCCGAAAGCTAACTAAAACTAGACTAAGCGACGCTTAGCTGTAAGTTGAAGAAAAGCTTCGATTTCAAAATAAATATAAAAAACCGTAAGAAATGGGTAAAAAAGATAAAAAAGGCGACCAGACTAGCGAAGCGTCTAGCGAGGAAGAGTATGTTGTGGAAAAAGTTCTTGACAGACGCACTGTGAAGGGAAAGGTTAGTACATAAAGAAGAATATAAACAAGCCTCTATGTTTTATTACTTGACACCCTTTGTTGATGTTCTTAGGATTATGAAATAAGAAAATAAAGAGTTAAATCGGACAGTAAAAATTTGCTCATGCTTTAATGCTATTTCATTACTAATCTTCATAAGAGCCTTACCAAACAGCTAAGATTTTATTGATAATGATTTAAGCGAGGTCTTCATTGCATGAAAATGTGATTGAAGCATGTTTGCAAGTTATCTACTTTTTAATTGCAAACATGCATCAATCAGAAACTTAACTCATCTATTGAGAGGTTAATAATACACTCAACCCCTTACATGGTAGTTAGAGTGGTATGAGCACTACTACTAACAGTCTTATTATACTACTATTATTTCTAGGGTTCTGTACCCGAGGAGTAAAAACAGGACCCTATAACTAAGATAATAATAATAATGTTTTCTTATCATAAATCATATAAGGCTACTTTCTTAGCTTTTAATCTCCAATATTCTGTTATATTTGAAATAAAGACAAAGTAAGTTTTGTATTAGTACTTCTACTAATGTAAATGTTTGAACGGAAAAGTAATGGAATACCAGATAAACAAAATAAATCAATAGGAATATGACCACAGCATAATAAGATATTTTGTCTACACTAAAATCGAAAAATTCGAATTATGAATTCAAAGAGGATTATAAACGCATATACATAAAATAAAAAATAAAACTCATTATAGTACCGCCAACTGTATCATAAATTTATTATAGTACCACTATCTTTTTTTATTCATTAACCTAGTTTATGGTTTTAGGCTGAATATGAAAAAAAGTGCATGCGCCTTTTTTTTTCATTGCGCAGTTCAAACTGTGAAAAATATTGCGCATGCATGAATTACTTCCTTGTAACCTACCTACTTTTTTTTTAATTTCAATTTTTCCTATGAGTGAAGATAAAGTAGTGTATGAAATTGCATATAACTTAGGTATTAAAACACTCCAGTCAACCTATTGTCTCAGACTCTCGTGTTTAAATACCCCTTCTTATATTATAGTTGCATAAACTACTATTATTTAAAACCTGATGAAATAAAAATAAAAAAATATGGGTACAACATGCTGTAGAACAATCTTCAAATTAAATAGGGATGATGACTGGGTAAAAAAAAAAGGAAATGTTATTTGGTCCCTCAGTCAAATAATAGAATATATAAGATACGTATTTTTTTTTTTGCATTAATCTAACAAGAAGTTACTTATGTAATAGGCATTAAAGTTGAGGGGTGGGAACTTACATCACAGTTTTGTAGAAAATGTAAAAAAGCGTGACATCATGCGACATTTCATTTAAAGATTTTGCAAAAAAAATATATGTGTTTAATATTCTTCAAAAATTCACCTGATGGACAAACAAGCAAAGATGAGTCATCATCGTTATTCTGCCTGGCGAAATTCACAAGGGCGATGCTATTAGCGTTAAGGATAAAAAGGAATAACTCTATCTAAATACTTAAATAAAACAAATACATGTTAATCTGATTGTTTCCTATTCACAAGTGCAGTACAAATAAAATAATGTTGGTAAAAATAAATCGAATAGATGGATGTACTCAATCTGCTCTGACAGTAAAAAGCAGTAGGAGCAGTTACATGGCTTTAATAAAATTACAATGGTTTAATAACAATTATTTTAATGAAATAAACTATTATCTTAGTGTTTACGAGTATTGACCAAAAATTATAATAAAACTTGAATCTTAATATCATCAAAATGTGGATGGAATTTTCAACTTCAGCATTTTGTTATCCAACGGCAGCTTATTAAATATACAATATTTCATTTTTATGTCCATTTAAATTATGTTACATTTAGTTAAAAACCATTTTTTACAGTAAAATGTGATAATTATAGCTGTAATAAAGCAATGAGATTATGTTATAGAATAAAGTTGTATTAACATTACAGACCCAATATTTGCTGAAATGGAAAGGTTACGAAGAAGCGGAAAGCACATGGGAGCCAGAGGAGAATCTTGACTGTGAAGAACTGATTAGAACATTTGAAGAAAACAGAAAAGACAAGGAGGTATATATCGACGCTGGAAAGCAAACACGTAGTAAACTGCAAAACCAAAATGGATATTTAAAGTGGAAAATCTTTATATTTTCAAAAAAAAAAAAAATAATATCCTATTTCCATTTATATTGACTAAGGAACACATTATTTGTTACCATGGACTTTTATAGGAATTATTTATTGAAAAAAATTAAAGTTTTTCTGCTCTGAAGAACGATTTTGGTTTTGCGGGTCACTATGTGTTTGCTTTCCAGCGCCGACATGTACACACAGCTGCATAATCAGCTTATAATTTAGAATATATATGTTAATTTGATTGGAGATTGAAACAGAATAGTGTAAAATTAAAATGTTTTGAAACTCAGCAAAAATCAAAGAAGCCCGAGGACCGAGGAAAGAAACGCGTGCGTGAGTCGAGCGAGGACACCGGCTCTGGTCGCAAGGGCCGCGCCACCAGCGTGTCTTCGGTGGAGGGGCCGAGGGACAGCAAGCGGGAGAGGAAGGAGGACAAGTCAAAGTCCGGCTTTGACAAGGGACTCAAGGCTGAGAAAATCATCGGTCAGTTCACGTAACCCAATATATATATTACGAGAATGTTTTCTTCATTAGTTTATTATATTATTACAAGTGTCTAGAAAGAATGAGGGTCTTTAACGCGCTTTTCCAGCCCTGAAAGTTGCTTAAATTTCAGGTTTATTAATTTCACAGTTACGAAAATTTTGTATTTAAATATTTCAGTGCATATGTATTTTAATACCTGTTTGTTCTTAAAACGCTTAAAGTTTTCAATTTTAGTATTTGGACAAATTGCGGATTGAATGCCATAGAGGCATTCACTTAGCGATAAGCGGTTAAACTATAAGCAGTTTTCTCGCGACTTCGCCTGCGTAAATTATAGCCTATGTTACCCGCGTATGATGGAACTTCCCGGGGTGCGACCGCCTAACTCTAGCCATAAGAAACGGCATCTTAGTGAATATTATGACGTTATTAATATTACCATCTGTGAGGACCTGTAAATGGCTTCCGATAGTTAAATTGCTATGTATCTGTTCTAGCTGTTGGTTATCCCAAAATAAATAAATAAATAGTTCATTTCATTTTACTACATTGGCATGTCTTTTTTCGATGAACATGAATGATTTTAAATCGGAAACACTGTTGTCAAACCAGATTCATCATTGTTTATCATTCGTTATTATAGTACATGTTTAATTAGTAACATAAAACGAAATAGCGTTATGACATCGTTAAGATGTCTTGTCCTATGGCTAGAGTTACAGCTTAAAGAATAAACAATTTTCGAAATTGGTTCTGTATGAGCCTATTCAATGTAAAATTTCAAATAATTCCACTTTATAATGTGGTGGCTTAGTGCATAAGCGCCGCGGCCCGGCGTCGTTATTGTTAAGCAACATTCGCAAGGCTCGGTCACGGGATGGGTGACCAAAAAAAATATATCTCTAGCTACTGTGTTTCGGAAGGCATTTTAAACCGTCGGCCCCGGTTGCACTTGCAGGACGTTAATACCCTCCGATTGGGCTAGCGTGGAGGTTCATGGCCTATCCTTAACGGAAGAGGGCTGATGATGATAGACAAAGCACGGATGGTGATTCACATAACATATGACGTGGGTGGTATTGTTGTGTGCAGGTGCATCGGACGCGACGGGCGAGCTGATGTTCCTCATCAAGTGGGCGGACTCTGACGAGGCCGAGCTCGTGCCCGCCAAGGTCGCCAACGTCAAGTGTCCGCAGCAGGTGAGTTCAAAGGGTTTAGCCGGATACGTATGACGAGTCGGCCCCCAAATGGGAATCGATATTGAAACTTATGTTTTAATATAGACTTGATGTTCAAACACGATTTATGTACTTTTTGCGACCGACTTCCGCTTTGACCTTGAGATAGAGAGCAAAATATCCGTATGCTTGACTATTACTGAATGTGATATATCTCTGAAGCTAATTAAGATAAAGAAGTGAAACTAACGCGAGGTGTTAGGTAACATTACAGAGTATATCATATATATTTTTTTATAATTTTTAGAATAAAAAATTACATTAAAAAAATAAAAAAAAACATGTTTCTTTTTCTGAGTTCTCTGTGACTTACAATCACGAAATTAATATATGTTATGCTCCTTTGTGTGCTCTATCACCCATAAAAATTGCGTGAAAAAAAAGTTGGTGCAACACAACGAAAAAAAATTATATGTGATTCGCGCCTTGTAGTGTGAGTGTATAAACAAACAAGTTCGAACTTGTTATCGAGCTGTTTACTGCATCGTTTGTTTAGCTAAAGTAGCAGTCATTTGTATTACACAAGAAGGCAGTTTGGGACTCAAATTCTGTCATAGGTATTTTGTATCAGCATTTTGAAATTATTAACTATCGAACCAAATCATTATTAAGTAATAATGTCGAAAAAGTGTAAAAATTGTAACAAGTACCTATGTAAGATTCCTGGTTATAAAAAAAATATAAAGAATGAAGAAGAAGCTAAAGTGTTTAGTGACTGTTTGAATAAAATCGTAATAGTTAATGATATTTTTTGTGAGAAGTGTCGACTTATCCCATATATTAACAAAAAAGCTTCTACTTCTAAATGTGCAGCATTTAACTTGGCCGAAATAATGGACGATCAAAATAATCTCTCAGTACAATATGTGAAATCAGCACCTAATATCATCAAAGCAGAAGTAAAATCAAGACATATAAATAGAAAAGTCTATCGAATTTACATTCACTATATTTCCGAAGGTAATGACTACAATAGTATTCTTCGTTATTGCTGTGATTGCCCCAATGGCGAACGTACAGTGGGATGCTGTTCTCATGTAGCAGCTATTATTTATTATCTATCATATGGACGATATTTGTCCAAAATCGTACGTCCTGATGAGGTCCTAACTAAGTTATTTGCGACTCAAAGTGTTCCGATTGTAATTAATTACAACAGTGACGATGATTAATATTTTGTTTCTTGTATTTTGATAGACACGAAAAAGTAATAATAATAAGTATTGAACACTGGCTGTTTCTTTTTCATTTCTTTTTTAACTATTATCCCATCTTTTAAGACTATTTACTTATGTTTTAAAACAAGCTGATGTGAAATTTCGAAAAAAAAACAATGATGTAATGTGAAAACCTTATAATACAGGGGTATACCATAAGACAGAAATCACATATAATTTTTTTTCGTTGTGTTGCACCAACTTTTTTTTCACGCAATTTTTATGGGTAATAGAGCACACAAAGGAGCATAACATATATTAATTTCGTGATTGTAAGTCACAGAGAACTCAGAAAAAAAAACATGTTTTTTTTTTTTTTTTTTTTTTTTTTTATGTAATTTTTTATTCTAAAAATTATAAAAAAATATATGTGATATACTCTGTAATGTAACCTAACACCTCGCGTTAGTTTCACTTCTTTATCTTAATTAGCTTCAGAGATATATCACATTCAGTAATAGTCAAGCATACGGATATTTTGCTCTCTATCTCAAGTTCAAAGCGGAAGTCGGTCGCGAAAAGTACATAAATCGTGTTTGAACATCAAGTCGATATTAAAACATAAGTTTCAATATCGATTCCCATTTGGGGGCCGACTCGTCATACGTATCCGGCTAAACCCTTTCACATTTTTTTTTGCCCCCAAATCACCAGAGTAATCTGGGTAAAGTCCACAAGATAGAGGTCGTTAAAGGTTTCTTCTTCTAAAGGTTAAATTTACGAGTCGGGCATCTGAAACTTGAAACAAGTCGCTTGAGAAACGTTTGAGCTCATTGGTTCGAATCCCATCTCAAGAGTAAGGGACAAGTAGATTTTTATTACAAACAAGCTTTTGCCCGCGACTTCGTCCGCGTGGTAAAGTTACTTTGAGCATCATTTCTAACAAATATTTAATCATTATATTGTGTAAAATGCCTAAAATAAAGTTTCATCCCCTATTTTATCCCCTTAGGGATGGAATTTATCAAAATCCTTTCTTATGGGATGCCTCCGTCATAGTAGTTTTAACCATGCAGTCTCAGCCCGATCAGTTTAAAATTGACAAGTTTTATACAAACTTTCATCCCCTATTTTATACCCTTGGGGGTAGAATTGATCGATATCGTTTCTTAGTGGATGCCTACGTTATAACATCTACCAGCATGCCAAATTTCAGCCCGATCCGTCCAGTGGTTTGGGCTGTGCATTGATAGATCATTAAGTCAGTTAGTCACCTTTGAGTTATATATATTTAGATAAATAGATATTTTTCAAAATTGATAAAATATAGTAAATTATCAAAATATTATACTAAGATATTATACAAATGTATTTTTATGTATATTGCGGTAGGTGATAGCGTTCTACGAGGAGCGGCTGACGTGGCACACGCCCGCCGAGTCCGAGTGATGCGAGTCGCGCGAGTTATACGAGTTACTGTGGACTGGTCGACGTGTGTTCTACAGGCCCACGTATGTTAGCGTTAAACATTATCGATATGTGACCGAACCGGCCATGGGACATTTTGTTTTGGGTCAGTGACCACCGAAGAAACTTATGCATAGTGGACATTGAATGAAATTACGAAGAGAAAATGTGTTTCGATAAAGTCTCCTTTGAGTGTACACTTTCTTAGGGAATCGCTGTATTGGTTTGTTCCAGGTTACATATAGTTTATGAGAATGGTTGTTTTTTTTTTTTTTTATTGTAAAAATAAGGATGTCATTGGGTTACGTATGTGAAGTCACTCCCTCTTTCTTCTCTTTAACTACTTCAATTCTGCCGATTGCACAGTTATTGTATGATGTGAATAAATTCAACAAATTTTGAGATCTTACTGATCTGTTTCATGCATGGATTTTGGAAAACCCATTCATAACACAACACGAAGACGGATAACAGAAACTTGTAACATCATTTTTATACAAACGATAGTTGATTTTTTTTTTGTATTTTAATATATTGATGTGTGACTAAATACAGTGATCATACGACTCGTGAGTTTGTCTATATGTGGCGTCTTTTACTGTGGAGAAATAGTAAGAAGAGATCGGCACATATCTGACATTCCACAATCGATGGTCCTCAGTCTTCAGTAGATGAATTTGGCGTCAGACATATGCCTGAAGACTATGCAAGATAGATTCAGTAAAATAGATTCATTTAAAAGAGAACTGGAATCTCTTTGATCTTGTTCTATAACCAGTATAGTGATTTTCCTATAAAATCGTACCAGTACCTATATTTTGATTATATTAGAATGTGTACCGCATACGAGATTTTATCACACGTATTTTCTGGTGTTTTAACATAAGGTTATTTTATAAAGAGTGACAGAAATTTTTGGAAGTCGAACACTAAACAGAGCAAGAAAAGCTTTTTTTTTCAACATTGGAATATTGCTCAGTAGCTTAGTCAACCAAAATCTGAGGTACCATGTACACACTGTTAAATTAGAATTGTGCAATCTGATTTAAGCTTGTATCGATAATGTCGATTTGAACAATTTTAATTCAATAACATTTCTGCCATTGGGTGGGAATCAAGTAATTTTTTATGACATAACTATATCTACTAAAGAATATTCCACTTTTCAATGAAATGTCACTGAAGTTACGTTGTGAGCTACATTACATCGTCTAAAGTCACAGTTATGTATATTTTTTTTTAAATATTGGCCACGTGTCATATTACGTCAAATATTCCATTATGTAAATATTAAAATTTTGTCATAGTTTATTTGATACGGAAAACATGTATGTGTTAAATTTGTTGGATATACTGCTAAAATTCTTACAATAAAATATTTAATATTTCTTGCAATTAGTTTTTTATTTACCGATTATTTAGGATTAACCCTTTTCTATGGGTTTTTTAAAAGTAGAATATATTTTTTAAATAAGCTAATTATCAATGAAGAAGTATTAAAAAAACAAAAGCACTAAAAAAGCACCTCCACTAGATGGCGACTCTAGCAAAAGTTGATTTTTGCAGGAAACAAATGGACCAAAGACAATCATTTCCGTTCCTTTTAAATAACATATATAATGGTCTCTTACGTGAAGTTGGCAGTATTGTGGTGACGCAAAGTGCCATTAAAGTTAGGAAGTGGTCTGTGGTTAGATTCAATATGATTATGTTTAAATAATTGTTTATATAAAGTTATTTCTTAATTAACGTATTAAAATCGTATTAACATATTAAGTTGTTTTTGGTAAATCTATGTAGAAAGATAGAATTGGTAATTCAAAATTGTTTTGTTGAATGAATGTATTGAAATCGTGTAATGGTCTCCTACGTGAAGTTGGCAATAATGCGGTGACGCAAAGTGCCATTAAAGTTAAGAAGAAGAAGAAACTGAAATTTGAAAATTTCGAAACTTTGATATCAATACAAATACGACTAAGTACAAATAAAATATGAGTTATTTATTGAGTTTTGAAAACTAATTTACTTTTAAACTTGAAAGAAAACCAGATAGGTTGTCATGGATATATAGTTTGATTTCGGGAACTAATGTTTTTTATTTTTTTAATACTTCCTCATTAAAATAACAGGTAAGTTCTTTTTATCCTGCCAATCTCCTGTTTTGTGGTCAAGCTGGCAGCGTCACTTTCTTCAATTTTGAAATTACATAACTCTTAATCCAGGGGTGGGCAAACGGTCGATCGCGATCGACCGGTCGATCGCAAGGGAATCTATGGTCGATCGCATTCCTAAAAATGTACTGACGTGTTGGGCTAATTCCAATAACAGTGGTCTTTTCACCAGTCAAAATACCAGTATCTAAAGTGCGTTCATAAAAAACATTTTATTTTACACGCGCGTAACTTTAAGAAGAAAATACTTGTCAACAAACAACCTTTCACTGCGAAAATGTCGATATGAAATAAGAAGGCACCAGATTTATTTGCGGCTGTACTGTGCACGTGTGCCGGTGTCGGCTCGTTAAACGGCGCGGCGGCGTCCTTTGACCTGTGCGGGCGGCGAATTAGCTTTATGCTTGCCGCCCGATTTACTTTGCTTTGACAATTGCCGACGGCCGGCACGTGTTCGCCAGTCTCGCACAGATTTTGGTTTCGGTGAGACGTCATGTCGTGATTCTGGATTCTGTACTTGTTTATGTTTCCCAATAACTTTCGTGATCGTGTGACTTCGTGCTGCTCATGAATATATTTTGTACTGAGGGTAACTAAAGGAGAGAGTGAAGTTGGTAACTATTATTTAAAATGAGTGCGCCAAAAAAAAGTAAAACTTATCATTTCAACGATGAATGGGAAGAAGAATTCTTATTTACCATGGTGAAAGACAAGTGTATTTGTCTTGTTTGTCGAGCTTCAGTAGCTTTGCCTAAACGCGGCAACTTAGAAAGGCATCATAAATCCTTGCATAAAATTTACGAAAGTGATTTTCCTCTCAAAAGTGAAATAAGACGTCAGAAAGTTCAAGATCTGAAAGGTAGCTTGAAGGCCGAGCAAGCTATGTTTACCAGGCCAAGTAAACAATCGGAAGCTGCGACAGTTGCGTCCTTCAAAATATCTCATATATTGGCAAAACACAAAAAACCCTTTGAAGATGGCGAGGTATTGAAAAAAGCATTTCTCGAAGGCGCAAATTCATTATTTGGCGACTTTAAAAATAAAACTGAAATCATGTCTGCCATAAAAGAGCTCCAGTTGTCTCGTCGGACTGTAACTAGACGTGTTGAGCTCATGAACAGTGATATCGAGCAAAAGCTAAAAAGTGATATTATGAGATGTTCATTCTTTTCTTTACAATTTGATGAATCCACTGATATGATTGACACTGCCCAGCTATGTGTGTTTATTCGGATGGCATTTCCAGATACGTCGTCTAAAGAAGAGTTCTTAACAATCATACCTTTGAAAGAAACCACTCGCGGTTCAGACATATACGATGCTTTTCTAAGTTTTGCGAAAAACTACGAGCTGCCTCTGTATAAACTAGTGTGCATAACAACAGATGGAGCACCATCAATGACTGGAAAGACTAATGGATTTGTGGCACTGTGCAGAGCTAATGAAGACTTCCCATCTTTTTTTTCTTTTCATTGCGTCATTCATCAGCAGGTGTTGTGTTCGAAAGTACTGAACATGGCAGATGTGATGAGCATCACTATGAAGATCGTAAATTCTATACGAGCCAGAAGCTTGCAACGACGCCTCTTCAAAGTGCAATTGGAGGCCAGCGAATCTGAGCACACAGATTTATTGCTCCATACAGACGTAAGGTGGCTGAGCCGGGGAAAGTTCTTAGAACGGTTTCAAGAATTACTACCTGAAATCATTTCTTTTCTGGATCAAAGGGGTGATGACACGGAGATTCTTAAAAGTGAAAGTTGGCTGTGTGATTTGGCTTTCCTTACTGATGTGACTGGTCATTTGAATTCTATAAACCTGGAGCTACAAGGGAAAGATAAAACTATTATGGACATGATTAGCACAATTAACTCATTTAAAAGTAAATTGCAGCTTCTGATCAACCAACTGAAAAAAAAGGACTTGAAAAATTTTGCGTGTTTGAAAGCAAAAACAAGCGCCGTAATAAATTATAATAAATACGAAACAGAACTTGGAAATATTCTCAGCGAGTTTGAAAGACGTTTTTCTGACTTACAAAAATTGACGAACGTTGTTACTTTCATGATTTATCCTTTTTCTTGTGTGGATGTTGAAATTACTGCTTCTGAAATATCGAACACTTTTGACATGGATTTGTCTTCTCTCGAAAACGAGATGATACAGATCATTTCAGATGTTCACCTAAAAGCCAAAGCAACAGATATCAGTTTTTGGTCTCTTTTGACCCAAGAAAAATACCCAAGTCTCCAACAAATCGCACAGCAATTAACTGCTTTGTTTGGGTCGACGTATTTGTGCGAATCTGCGTTTTCTGAAATGAAAATAATTAAATCCAAATACCGCAATCGACTTACCGACGAACATTTGTCTTCCTGTTTACGTTTGGCACTTACTAAATACGTGCCTTCCTATGAGAAATTAGCAGAAAATACGCAGTGCCATGCATCGACCTCTAAGTAAATCAGTCCAGAGAGGCCCGAAAACTGATAAAAACACTCTTAGTTCATGTGATTGGCTTCATACTTATTTTTAGTAGTTATTAGTTATTAACTTGTATAATAAGAAACTGTACTTCTTTAATTGTAAATAAAAGTATATTTAAATAGTGATATGTGCGCAATACCTACAATAAACGATTTAACATAAAAAAATATTGTCTTATTGCAAGTCGATCGCTTGTCGTCTCAATTTATTGATATAGATCGCCATTAGTGAAAGTCTGCCCACCCCTGTCTTAATCCATAGTCTCTATTTGTCAGTCCGTTACGAAATAGGAACAAATAGCCAAGTTACGTAATTTCGGAGATAAGCCTGTGGTGCCGCTGGGTTGACGTGAGTTTAGCAGCGCTACTACATCTTCATTGTATAGTTAACAAAAAATGTCAAATGATATGTTGAAATTATATTTTATTGTAAATAAATAATACATTTACAATTACCAGAGTATTATAAGTAAAATAACGTTGGATCTTCTGTTCACACATGATAATTATTCATATTGGCGTAGAGAAAAGGTAAGCGATTCTGCCCGGCTTCTCAAGGGGTGATTTCCCTAAAGAAATGTCCATTAGATATCTCTTCCAATCGTACGCAATCATATTGCTATAGCGCTCGCACAGACGCATCTGGCACAAGAAGTTTATACAATACTTTATTTAAAATCTTGATCTTGCATTTTGTTATATAGTAAAGTAAACGATAACTAAAGTTTTACAATAAATAGCCAGTGTTTGCGACACCGAATGGTGAATCATGTAACTTACGAATTTAGCGTTAATATCCATAATTTCAGGATATTACGAGCTTTTATATCACAATACTATGACGCGCATTCGTACAAAAATATAGTAATTATTATCTTAAAGTAAAACATTTGGTGATATCACTGTCGCATGTATTTTATAAATAATATTATTATAGCACTAGCTCGGGAGCCAAGTGATCCAACTAAAGATAGCCTAATGTGCATTATGGCTTTAAAAACTCGTAATAATTTAGCAAACTCTTGAGCATATATTAATTGGAGCATTTGACTTCCATACTGACACATAAAAATTCACTTCATCCCTGGCACTCGTGAGATGGGAATTGAACCCATTACAGAGCAGTCGGCCAGATTGTGAAAGGTCATTTATTATTATGTGTTTAAGCATTTTACATCAAGAATAATGTCGAGTATAGCACTGTGAATGTGAAATCAATGTAATAACTTATAAAAATGTTCACCGACGACATTAGTATGTTTCCATTTATGGAACTAATAGTCCGATTATTTGGCAACCTCCTGGGTTTTCAACCTATAATACATGTCTCGACGAAAATGTTTCATTAAAACCTCTCTTATTTGGTTCTTATTAAAAATTTTATAACCCAAATAGTTAGGAAAAGATGACATTGGATTTGTCAAAACTGTTTGTAGGGAATAAGGGAAGTAAAACGCGTTTTAATTACAGTACTTAAACTATAAAGTGTTCAACTTAAACATCTACTTAATTAACCTAAAAATTGCACAAAAATAAACATCATTCATAAATCAATCAATAAATACACAGGAGCACAACAGAATACCACAGATTTATAAAAATCCGTGATCGAATTTTAACCTGATTATCGACGTATTAAGATTTACGAACAGTTCGATATTTTGAATAATCTGTTGTGCCGTTGACAGAATAATGTACGTACTTAACATAGAAATACAGTTAAAATTGTCATGACTCGTATAATAAAGGTACTGAGAATATAAAATGCAATTATTAATAATTACGCTTGGAACTTGTAGTCTGGTTTGCTTAGTCCATTTCTGAAATAAATGAAAAAAAAAACCTTACATATATTAAGGAAAATTCATAAATAACATTTGATAGCTGTAATACACGAGTTTAAACCTAACAATAATCTTAATGAAAAATGCTTAGAAAATCCACTGTCCCTGATACTCTGAAATGGGAAGCATTTTTCATTAAGAATATTTGGAAAAAAAAAATCCATTACGTATGCTGTAATATTTACGTAGGAAGTTCTATTGGTGTTGCGCGTGGAGTGACATTTGAGCATTAAATTAAGTTTTTTTTGCATAAAAGTAAAATGTATCGAAACATTAAAATTTATTTATTTATGTAACTTTCGCAAGGGTCGATCACGGGATGGGTGACCAAAAAATTATTTTTACGAGCTACTCTGTCCTTTCGAAAGCACGTTAAGCCGTCGGTCGCGGCTGCATTTGCAGGACGTTAATACCGATCCGTATTGGGCCACTATACAAAGATTCTATTGTTTTAAGCTTTCATAGTCTCTTATAAAAGATTGATAGTTTTCGCGGGATCCCTATCATGTATCTTGTTTTTGTTTGAGTTCCCGATATTTTAGCGCTGTGTCTATCTACCGTCTTTCTAGTCCTTTCACTAGAAAATATCGTCAACTCAACAAAAACAAGGCACATGGTAGCAATTCCGCGAAAAACTAACATCCATGAGGTATGCCCGAGCCCCTGCAGGCGGGCGAGAGGGCTGATGAGTATGTCGTGGTACTGACGTGAGCATGGCGACGTGCCCCGGCGCCGGGTGCACGAGGGGCGCCAGGCGCTCCGTGAACCGCTGGAAGTTGCGCTCGAGCTCGCGCTGGTACTCGCGCTGGTCGCTGCCGATCAGGTTCTTGTTCTTGCGCAGCGCGTCGTGACATCTGGACACACATGGGCCAAGGAGTGAAAGCTTTCTAAACTTACTTCAGTAGGTTGAAGTGCGCATATCAAGTGCTGGAACACCTGGTGGTGGCGGAGCGAATGCTGAATATGCTTGTACCGTCAAATTTAAGTCTGAGTATTTTTTATGAATTTGTACATTATGGATTTACTCTTTGTTGAGTATTGATGTTTTTTATGTGATTTTTTCAATTATCATTCTTGCTTTTATTCTGTATTTCTATTGAAATTGAACTGTGTTAATTTTATTGAAATACTAGCTGACCCGACACACTTCGTCCTGTCAAAAAGATTTGTAATGTGGCAGTTTTTTTCAAATATAAATTATTTTTTCACTAATCACGAACTAAACAAACACTAACTAAGTAAACACTCTGCACAAAACACGATATACGAATTTGTTTCGTGTATCAGTTGACAAAAGCAAACTCAGTAGATTAGGTCACAGACAACTTTTTTTTTTTTAAATTTGATATGACTTGAAGTCAAATCCTTTTAAGCCGTACGAATTGTTTTATTGATTTAAAATTTGGATATTAAAAATAATAAAACACTGTTGGTAACGCGATTTTTGTTTGACTGATGTAATGACGTGGAAACTGATGCATTTTATCTCGCGTGCCGAAACTAATACAAAAGAAACGCGAGTTTCGGAACGCGACATTAAACTCCTCCAACTATGTATTCTGTGCTCCAACGCACACACGCACATTGTTTTGATAGATATGATCTTTGACGTTAGGAACACACCTACATTGCTTAGACAACAGTGAGTGCTTGTAATTTAATATGAACTTTATACCATAGCAATAAAGCTCAAATTGACTACGTTTTAGTTACAAATCATTTGTATGGGAAAAAGAAAAGGGCTATTTTTAGGGTTTTTCCAGCAATAATTCTAATTTTTCTCGCCGTAAAAACCATCCTTGAACTTCAACGAACATTTTAAAAAAAGATTTGGCCAAATTGGTCGAGGCGTTGTTGAGTTATGCGCTTACCAACACATTTTGCGATTCATTTTTATATATATAGATTTTTATATATGCATTGAAAGTTGGTTTGATAATATAAATTAACCTTCAACCTTTACGAAACTTTTTTTCGAAGCTCATTTTCACACCATACTACGAGATCTCGCGCTTCATGATTCGATAAATCTGCGTAGTTTACTCAACTTTTTTTATATTTAAGAATAAGTGCCGTTATCAGGTGTTCCAGCATCAGACCTACGCACTGAATACTGAGTCATATATACCCTTAGTAATTTAATTACTGTAATATCAATTTTTAGAAAGCTCTTGCATATTTTTGTCTCGATCGTTTAGTTTCAACACAGCGCATGCTAAAAAAATATCACGTGATGAATGAACGGCGCTACAACTTTCAGACGTTCTATCGATCAACTAAAGAAGAAGAAATGCAGACAATATACATTATTCGGTCCCAATAAATGATATCTGTCATAGTCGTATCTACATATAAAAATGTGCGTATCTCTGTAATAAGAAATTTGTAGTACATATAGCTTACTTCTTGGAGAAGTCCTTGAAGGCGAGACGCAGCTTGTTGGTGAGTCTGGTGGGAGGCTGCGTGCCCTCCGCTACAGGTGCCAGGAACACCTGCATGCATTAATTATATAATTTTTTTAGTATTAATAAAAAAACTCGCCAGGAGCAAAAAGAAATCACTTTTGGTATATGGGAGCACTCTTAAATGATTGTTTTATCACCTGTAAGTTGCACAAATGTTCATTAAGATTGTCATTAGTTTAAAGTGACAATACCCATACAAATTTGAGATTCATTATGTAGAACTGGGTTAGTCAATAATAAATAACTCTTGTAATGTCTTATCTTCTTTAATAAACCTTTATCTATTAGATAATCACAAGTATCCACCTTCACTCCAATACCCAGACTAATTATTTCTGTCAGCCGCTGTCAACATCACAGACTATCACAACTCATTAGAACTAAAGATATCATTAAACCTTAATGGACGTTTGTGCAACGTTATTTAGTATACAATTTGGTAACAGCTAAGTTTTAGTAATAGTGTTTCCGTTTTACCCGTTGGTTATGGAACCGTAAAAATGTGTATTTTAAGGAAATACATCTTCATCACTCCACCGGTACTCAGCATAATGAGAAACTCTTCTTCGTTCCCACTTGCTTACCCGATTAGTTCAACGAATGAACTAACGTAACTAACCTCTTTGTTGGTACAGTAAAATAGTAGCTTTAACCTGCAAAGCTTGGCGTTTATAGTTAACAGTTAAAGAAATGACGTCATCTAACCAAATACCAAATGGTGCAACTGATTAATTTGCTTTAATATGTTTGTTATTGTATAAAGTAAGTTGGTGCAAGCGAGACTTAGTTTTTTGTTTTATTGAACTCGAGTAATTACTTAAAAGGTGAACACTAAGGTATTGTCGCCTAATAACGCCCACTGTTTTCAACCGCTGGAGTGCTAAAAAACTAACTAGCATATATTTTAATAAAAGTCCCACACCGATAGATCTTTAAGGACGATATAATGAAATTTGAAGCTCTATCAGAAAATTTTTTAGAACTTTGGCAGTGAAAAACAGTGGGCGAGAGTACCTTATATACTTTAGCGTAGCTGGATAAACACAAACTTTGAAAGGTGCGGTTCACAGTTCTAAGTTTATATAATCCAGGTGAACTAGTTGTACCACTGAACACAGTAATTTAATCAAGGTATACAAAATATCGATGTCGTAATGAATATTTAAAAAGAATATATTTTTATGCTTTTTATATCCTATTAGCATTGTAATGTGAGAGTTTCTTTTTTTGGATGGTTGTTCGTCAATCACGCCGATACTACTGAATGGATTTTGATGAAATTTGATATGCACATAGGGTATTAGCTGACTTAGATAATAGGATACTTTTTATCCCACTAAACATTTCCCTAGAGACCACGCGGGAAAAGCCGCTGGCGAAAGCTAGTCTTTTATAAGTATTAGCGGTAGTAAAGTTCAGTCAACAGCAAGTAAGGTTACACGAAATATAAAAATCAATCAGTTGATATTAAATCTTATTTCAATGAATTATAGGTAGAGCTCAAAATAAAATAAGGTTATTTGACATGTTGTAGTATACTGACTCACAATCGTGTACATTTTTTTTTCATAGTAAAATGATTTAGTAAAATTGCCAACGGCCCTAAAATGTGTGATGCGGGTGCACGTGTACCTGCGCGAGCTCGAGCGGCCCCTGGTTGACGGTGGTGCCGATGCAGCCCTGCACCACCATCTGCAGCATCTTGGGGTCCGCGGGCTCCTGGCTCGTCGCCGCCCACAGCTCGTTTATCTGATCCCACACACACACAACAACACTCACATTTGGTTATCGTAACCGTCCCAAGATACCACCGATACATATGACGACTAATATTATTTAAAAATATTAAATACGCAATTTTTTATTGCGTAATCAATAAATTACGGCGATACGTTGAGTTGAAGTGTCGCATGACGTCACGCTCTTGTACATTTTCTACAAAACTGTGACGTAGCCAGCCCCCACTCCTGAACGTTAATGTTTATTATCGAATCTAAGCCATTTCTTGTTTAAGTTGAAGCAAAAAAAATACGTATCTAATATTTTACTATTATCTGATTGACGGACTAAATATATATTTTTTTACCCCGTCTCCATCACTATTAGCACAATGATGTCAATAGAGATTATTACTGAAAGGTCAGCCACATACGAGAGTCAAACTGAAAGTAATTTGATAATCATAAACTGAGCAAAGTAGTAAGTTGTTAATATTATTATATCTTTAAAAGTAGTGCCCATTTACATAGATACAACGTTGCATTCGATGTTACCACTGCCCACTCGCCCTTAAGTATGTTCGACCGCCTTTTAATACGCAATTAATATCAATACAACCACAGAACACAGAAAGACGTTAGAAGGGCCTTGTGCGTGGCGTGGCAGTATAGCCACGATCCTAGACAAATGTACAGGATCGTGACTTCACCACGCGATTGCGATATTTAGTCATTCACGAACGCGCGCGCTGTAAGTACTGTGGAACACGCCACTAAAAGTGTTAAAAATGCCGACTTTCGCAGTTATTAATTGCAAAACAAGAAGCCCATCCTCAAGTAGGTCCAAAGGAAGGATTTATTTCCATCATTAAGTAGAACACTTCTCAAATTTAGTATTTTTAGTCGAAAATCGTGAAATGTTATAGTAGAAGATCCGAACCTAAATCGACCTTCACCGGGTTGATAATGGAATAAAACTTATTATATAATTAATTTAGTATATTAGAAAATATATTAAAAATGGGTTCGCTAAAAAAATCCTGGACAGAATATTTTTAATTATTTAAAAAAAAAAATTTTTTATTAAATGTTGCAACATCAAGATAATAAGAAAAATTTAATTCTGACTTAAAGTATAAAACATATAGAATGTGCAGACGTTGGGTTGTCTATTATTTACCTGGACGAACTACTGGGTTGTCAGGTATAAACAGGTATATCGATGCCAGTTAATTTCACTTGATTTGATAATAAAAAAAAAATATATCAACATAAGCGCTGTTTCATTACGAACACATTGATATAGGGTTGTCTGCAAAAAATTCGGTCCTAATACGGGTTTGCGAATTTTAAAAATTAAAATTTTAACGCGTGGGAAAGTGAGTGACAGAGAGATCCGAGGAAAGTATACCGTGTAATAGTAAAGGACCCAACATTGCAGTCGCATCTGATCGGACCCTGAATATATGAAAGTGCGCATGCTCGGAATGTAAAATATGGAGGGTGGAGGTATAGTAAACAGTGCACGTTATTTTGGAGTATGTTATTCTGTATTGTTGTGATAAAAAATGGCTAAAAAGTGTTTTTTGTGTGGTTCGGACGATTCTTTAAATGATTTTACTGTTGAAACTTTTAAAAATTGTTCGTTGAAGCTAGCTTTTCGTAAAAACAAAAACTTTAAATATCATGAAGTTGAGCTTACTAAAGCAGCGCTCGATTTTATAGGTTACCATATTACCTGTTATAAAAATACTTTCCTCGGATCTCTCTGTCACTCACTTTCCCACGCGTTAAAATTTTAATTTTTAAAATTCGCAAACCCGTATTAGGACCGAATTTTTTGCAGACAACCCTATATCAATGTGTTCGTAATGAAACAGCGCTTATGTTGATATAATTTTTTTTTTATTATCAAATCAAGTGAAATTAACTGGCATCGATATACCTGTTTATACCTGACAACCCAGTAGTTCGTCCAGGTAAATAATAGACAACCCAACGTCTGCACATTCTATATGTTTTATACTTTAAGTCAGAATTAAATTTTTCTTATTATCTTGATGTTGCAACATTTAATAAAAAAATATTTTTTAAAAAATAATTTAAAATATTCTGTCCAGGATTTTTTTAGCGAACCCATTTTTAATATATTTTCTAATATACTAAATTAATTATACAATAAGTTTTATTCCATTATCAACCCGGTGAAGGTCGATTTAGGTTCGGATCTTCTACTATTACGTCACTTGTCTTTAAAGAGTCTCTTCTACGGCCTTTTAAAACGCCGTTACTGCTTTTTTGAATGCTGATTCATAAAACGTTTTCCTCGGAAGTTTTTCTTTCATTTTCGGGAACGAATAAAAATCGCAAGATCGGGATTATACGGCATGCGAAATTCCACGTGTGACGTAGTGAAATAGTCTATGGTTTACCTGGCGGTCACTGATTAACACATACAATTTTCAATTTGCCACCAAAATGTAAATATTTATATATATATTTAAATTTCAAATATATTTAAAGTTTTGGGGGTTACTACGTTTCCGCTTTTTTACGTCGAAATGATAAATGAATGAAACTATTATTAGCAGAGGTTTATTTTCAAAATTTAAACTTCCTAGCTGCTTCCTTGAATACTAATTACAAAAATGCATGTACATATAATTGTTTAATGCGTTCCTGGTAGACAAGACAGACTTACCTTTTTCTGTATATCTTCAATGGCTACTTCTATTGGCGAAAGTATGATTTGCGTCCGCTGTACCACCTGTGACAATATATGAAAATAATTACAACCAATTGCAAATATTCAAATTTAAATAAACAAATTTTAAGCTTTGGTGACCACTGGTCACTGGCCACTTTTGGGAGGTAGACAATAAAAATAAAAACTTAAATATACAACTGCACAGTTTTCTTTTCAATTATTCAATTGATATATTTAAAATCACAACCACGATTGCAATAGTTTTAAAAGAATGACAAAACAGAAGTAATTTGGCGTTTAACTGAAACTGATCGTCAACATCAAAGTGGCAGTGACAGCTAGGGATGCCCGTGGTGAAATCGACAACTAATGCTGCCAGTAGCAGTTGATATTTTCTCCTCTGACAATATGTACCTGTATTCTTGTTTTGACGTACGGGAAGTGATGTGCGGTGGTGAGTATCGTCTTCCGCTTGCATTGTTCCGCGATGTCTCCGTGCGCGCGGCCGCTGGCAGTGAACGGGGTTGCGTACATAAACCGTTCTAAACAAATACACAACTTTATATTATTTAGGCCTGAGACACTCCAAACCATTGTCTGGTAGGACACAACGCACTCTTCAAACTCTCCGCAAATCATGATTTATAGGGCAATTCTGCAAATGTTAGCGCAATTATGGAAAGTCAATAGCGCTTCGACTAAAATCCTTTATGACACAATTGGATTTTAGGTAGATAGTATTGGAACATAGGATTTTAGATTGATAGTACTACCTACTCTTAACGAAACTCTATTGAGGCCTTCGGAGACACAGGCCTTCTCAATGGATGGAATGAAATAGTGAGACCGAGCCGTAATTCATTATGCGGGCCCAGTTAGAATTGGTGGGTTTATTCTTCCGAAATAAAGTGACCAATGGATTAATTTTAGTGTTTAATCGTTAATGACTATTGAAGTTTAAAACTTTACCTATATAGCTATAATAGGGTATTTGTTCTGTTTGAAGTCATACTGGTAACTATTTCATTTAAATTAACGTTTTCTTGCCTTAAAACTAAATCAAAATTTATACCCGCGAAAACGCTGTCCGTCATGTTCATGACGTCATTCTAATATATACACAAAACAAAAAATGCATAGAGTCGAAAATGAAAATGTAATTAACAAAGAAAAATGTGATCAAAGAATCGGTTACTAATAAAAAAATATATATATACACAAATAAGTTAAAAACAACGCCATCTAGAAACTTGATTTATAATTAATAGGCATATCTTTACGACTAATCTGATAGCTGTCGCTACAGTGACTCACACAATGGCGGGTTGTGTTTCAAGTCACGTGACACAGGCAAAAAAATCACGACTTTTAATTTTGATAATAAAATAATCGTGTGATTTTTAAGACTCAAAATCAGAATCTCTGTTTATTTCGATGTAATCTTTAGTATTTGTGCGGTTTCGTGATTTATTTTTCACCACCCAAACTACCCTATTACGTAGACCAAAAAAATTAAATTCATATTTTTTTAACGCATACCCTCTTATTTTGTTTGAATGCTCTCAAAACATTTAAAAGTAAAGTTTGACGAACTTAGGATCACGGCAACCCGTGCCGACTTGCATCGATAAAATCGTGTCTGTACTTGTAAGATGTACGATGGCGATACGAAAATCTCGCACTGATTGCATGTTATTACTTGTTTGTTTTATTAGTAATCGCATTATTATTGAGCAGTCAACATGTCTGTAGAGTTACGGAGTTCCAAAAAGGAGATATTTTTAATAGGGGACTATAATCCTTTATGACACAATCGGAATCGGATCGAAACTTCTCTCTAATGGACAAGTACTGGCAGTTCTGTTCTATAATATGAAGTGAATTTAAGTATCAATGAATGTGCAAATCTTACTATTCGTGAGTGCATTATTTACTGGGAAAAGGCACATATACCGACTAAATCATTACCTAATTGTGTTAAAAAACTATTCATTATACCAAATTTGGAGAGATTTGCAAAAAAAAAAATCGAAAAAAGCACAAGATGTATTTAAACAGCGTTGACAAGAATTTCTTTCAAACTTAAACAATCTGATTGACATTGCTCATGTCGATGCGCTTCCGTTAATTAAAATAAATGAAGATAGAGTTTTCTTGCAGTGCCAAAGAGAACCAGGTTGGCCTGGACACTTAGCCGGAGTGGACAAAAAATTTAAAGAAAAAGAAGAAAAGGCGCGCCTTAGAAACATTGAGGAGGAAAATGCGACGTGCTAAATATTTTTCATCATTAGCACCATCAACATCACATCCACAAAGAAACTCATCTTCTGATTCTGAAATAATAGTTTTACAAGAAAATATGTCCAGCTCAAGTGGTACGTCCTCTAAACCAGATAAAATTTGTATAAAAAATTAACAAAAAAATAAGAAAACGAAAAAATTTCATGACTCCGAAGTTAGTTGCCGCACTTGATCAGTGTCAGTTAAGTGTGAGAGATTCTGTATTTATTATTTTAAAGAGCAATCAAATTAATCCAGATTTTCATGGTTTAATCACTGTTGAAGAGGAGCAAAAACAATTTTTATTACGTTGCGTACAAGAACACAGAAACATATATCCTGACTGTAAAAAGCTAACTTTCGAAAAAACAAACTTAATGGTTAATGCTTCTTTTACTGTAAATAAACATTAAATATTGTATTTGTGTTTAAAATACTGAAATAAACAATAAACTCTACAATCTCCTTATAGCTTCCATACTAATTTTTAAACTTAAACTTTGACGTCAAGTCGGCACGGGTTATTGTTGTCCGATCGCAATAATATTTTATATTTAAGTTTTTGGAGTCAAATGGAAAAAAAATAGAGGGTATGCGTTTCGAAATTCGAAAAAAATAAATTTCCCATTGAAGGCTGGGACACCCTACTGTATATACGTACTGATATTGAAGTTCCTCTCATAGTGTGTGACGCGTTTCCTCAGTTCGTGCGGCTCGAAGTATGGCTCCACGTACGTGATCTGTATGTAAGCCTTGTCCGGCTCCAGCGCGCTCGGGTCCACCAAGTTGGAGTCCTTTATTATCACCACGTTCTCGGGACCGAAGCGGGCGCCGTAGAAATTCTATCACACCATACATGTATACAGGTTTACATTTTAAAAAAAGTGTTTGGTATAATAAAATTATCAGATTTTTATGTTGCGAACACTGTGTTATATTAAGATTTTTACTTGATAAATATCTAAGTAATAAAAAAAAATGTGTGTTGAAAATATAAGCACTGCGTTACAAAAAACTTATAACTTCGACGTCATTCAAGTTCGTTTTTAAATAATATACAGGGTTATATGTAAAGCAGCAGCAACCATAGAGGACCAAGATAGCTAATACAGTTTAATAGTACCTCAATACTTTGAATTGACCTCCCAAGTTTTTATTGTATTGTCGTGACAATTGTAGGTCACTTTTGCGGTTTGAAGTATCTACCAACGTAATAATATTGATACTAGACGGGTTTAATTTCCAAGCGCTAAATTAAAGTTTGTCTAAAGTCTAACGGTCAGTTGCACAAACGTTTATAAAGGTTTAACGACGCCTTTAAGCTCTAAAGAATGTCAGATTTGTATGGGTAATGTCACTTTAAACTAATGAAAATTTGAATGGACGTTTGTGCAAATAGCCGATAGATATTGACAACTAACCCTGTATATGTTCGAGTATGGGATTTAGAAATAGCGGGTACAATATGATCGAACATTAATCCTTAGTAGATATGACCAAAGATGCCACGTGAGAGCGAGTGTTAGGTAAGCTGTACAAAATATGATGAATTTGCTGTATTATTGGATGTTAATTATTTGAAGTTTTATACCACTGCATTAAAGCCTACTTTTTATTAAAAGGAAACCATCAGTAAATTGTTAGCTATTTACATATTCATCTGGGGCTGGATCTGGCGGACTCCTTGGCGGACCCAGTTTTACCAGAGCGGTCGCCCAGATTGCGAAAGGTCGTGGGTTCGAATCTCATCTCAGGGTGCCAGGGACCAAGTGGATTTTTTAAGCATTTTTCATTAAGTTTATATTTCAGTACAACAATGTGAACGCAAAATTGATCAAATATAATATATCTTTGGTGTTCATAATAAAGTGTTATTATTATTATTCCCTTCGTTAAAATAGAAAAAGGGGCTTTTACACGTTCCTCGTACCTCTAGCCTGCTGAATATCTCTGGCAGCTTGGTGAGCGCATGTTCCTTATACACAAACTCCTCGCCGTGCAGGTCACCGAACCGTGCGCCGTAGAAGGACACGCGGAAGTATGAACCGAACACGCGCTTGCCGTGCAACTGCTCGATACGTGTGAACGCCTCGTGCAGTTTACTGGATTTGTAAATAATAAAACACAGCTGCTTTATGCGAAGTACATGACCGTTCTCTACTGTTATGGTTATAGCAACATATTTAACGTTCCGTTTTTATTTATAATCAAAAAACGCATGGGAAAATATGTTTGTTTGTTCTCCTTTTGTCCGTCTGAACTGAACATAGCGTCTTTAAACAAAGCAAGAGAGTGACATAGGCTACTTATTATCACGAAAAAAAACTGACCATGCTGCCGGTAGCAGTTAATAAATAAATGTTAGACAACATCACATATAAATTACAACCGTTTCTCGGCTCTCAAGTAGTTCAAGCCCATCATGATTTATGGAAATCGGACCTAAATCTCAGAGATGGCGTTACTTTAAAACCGTCGATCTAGTTACGGAGGTCAGACGAGAGAAGCAACATAACTATGTAATGTTAAAGTTTCACATACAGTATCAAAGCATAACATCATAAGATTGTTTGGCTGTTTCACTATAATATTTTCATTGATACATTCATTCACCAATTGGCAAGATTGTAGGTACCTGTGTATGTTTGCTAGTTTCTTGTAGTCTCGCGCTTGTTCAGCGATGGGCAGGAGCGCCTTGTACACTTCGTTCACTGTCTCGTACATGCCCGCCGTCATTAGCTCACTCGCTGCGTGTTCCAGCAATGCCTACGATAACCAAACTATATGTCGACGCTGGAATGAACAAACACGCTACTACTACGCACTACGCTAATATTTCCAATGCCTAAAATTGATTTTCCGTCCGAGCCTAAAGATGTTAGTTAGACCTATTAGTATTTTGACCTTTTTATCTAAAATTGTAGAAAAAGCCATCAACGGTCAATAAATAAATAAACGTTGAAACCACTGAAATACTTCCCAGTACTGTAAATGCGTTACTTGATGTCATCGACAATCGTCGATTTCTCTCGTGCTTTTGATTGTATGAAGATTCCATTGCTAATTTCCAGATTATCGTTTCATGACTTTGATCCACAATAGGTCAAATGGGTCGATAATTATCGGTTTTAGGTGGCACGTTTATGTAACGGACGGATCTTATCTGATATCAGGAGGTTAAAAAGGTAAGACGTTATGTGCCTCAGAGTTCCATTCTTGGGCCTCTGTTATTTAACATACGCTAGTCCTGCCATCTACGCTAAACTTAGCATAATATTTCCTATTGATGTTATAAAGATGACAGAAACAGATAATATTGAAAAGGGTTCGTAATCTTAACAACTGCGGATTCTAATGTTATTAACGGATGTTTATAATTCGTAGATCTTATTTGAATTTTAAAATTTCGGAAGCATGGACGTGATCGTAAAGACTTTGATAAGAGGTTTGGTCTACATATGGCAGCTCGTTACTCCTGGTGGGTGACATGTAACGTGTGCGAGGGCTGCAGGACAGCGGGTACCTGCAGCTCCTGGTGGGTGAGGTGGTGATGTAACGCGTCGGCGCAGCTCTCGTCGAGCGCGTTGTGTGTGACGTGCTGCAGTAGTGCTGCGCCGCGGCCGCCCGCATTGATCTGCTCGGCGACTAGTGCTGCGCCGTGCACTAGGCACATGCCCGCCTCCGCGTGATTCGAACGCTAATGCGCAAATGTACAATTAGGAACTCAGTAATGCTGCATCTGTCTATAGTCTTTTTCACGTTACATAGGTATGGTGACGTTTAGGATTTGAAGTTATAAGTGATGGGATAATGAAAATATATATATGTATATATCAGGGTCCACTGTCTCGTACATTCGTCATATACAAAAACGAAGATATTATTCAGTTCATTTCTAATAGAGATAATCGATATTGTGGTCAATGTAAAAAACATAATTTAAGAAAAATATTTATTTATCAACAAGATGAACCGAATACATATTTAGATAAAACCTATCTTATTAATTCAATCCCATTTAAAAAAAAAACTTTCATATTTCGTTACAATTATTATATTTTAAATTTTAGATGGTAAGATTTCAGTAATTATGGCTATTAAAAAATCATTTATATTTTAATATGCAAAGGTAAATCAATATCTAATATATACACAGTCAAACTATTATTTATACCGATGGTTTTTAATGAATTGGAAATACAAATTGCGTGAAATGGATTCGGTAACAAAAGTCATAGTACCCATGCTATGTGAAATAAACTAGTTACAATTTTTGTCATAACAAAAGGAAAAATGTTCTCAATATCAATAGAATCACTATTTTAGTTGAGCACAGTATACTATAGTTAAAATAATATTTACATGACATTAACAGAATGTTAATGATACGGTTTTAGTTTGGTATTCAACCTTGCTAGAGAAGAATATATTATTCATTAATAACTAATAAAGACTTCATTAAAACCCAGTATATTCCACCATTTTATTAGAATCATCAAAAGGGGTGTTTCCATAATATAAAGATAAATTAGTGATAAAACCGACCTCCATGTGTTTCTGCGCCATGTTGTTGAGCCACGTGAGCCTCAGGTCGGGGCTGTGCTGGTAGCCGCGCGCGATGCGGTGCATCAGGTCCAGGAGCATCTCGGGGTCCTCCTGGAACTCCTTCATCTTCACCGTATCCGACAGGATCATGTGCAGGTTGAACACCAGGTCTTTAACCTGTACCGTACAAAAATAATTATATTATATTCAGCCATTCACTAAAATATACATATTTAAATAATTTGATTATAGGAAAAGTGTAAAAAAAATTTGTTAGTCTTATTTTCACAGTTTACAACATGGTTTTAATTCACGGGGCCGATACAATATACTAACCGGTCATTTGATATTCAATTCTTTCTTAGCTACATATAATTTTCAAATATAGTCAACTACTTTTTCGACCCTTTTTTCTCTGTTTATTATAGAATATAATTAGTGCCCTATTTTGGGGATTTCAATAAATCAAAATGGTAGTATTTTGCTTCGACAATTATGATTATACAGATGCATTCATTGGTATCTAAAAAGAAGATTGACGAAGTCAGAAGTCAAATAATGAAAAAAAAGAACGAAAGTGAAAGCAGCAGCCTTTGTAGCAGTAACGCCGCATATCACGTGATATGTAATAAAATATACCGTCTCACTTCCACCGCTAAAATGTAAATAGGATTATAACATTTTTTTGAGTACCAAGTATCGATAGGAACGTTCATAAGGCTGGCAGTGGCATGAAATGAATAAGGTTTTGAGACAAAAAGTAGAGAATTAAGGAGGTAGGAGTGTGGCTGTGTACCTGTTCAGGGAAGGTGGTGTTGGCCAGTTCAGCATCACGCTCGGCGTACAGCAGCACCGCTTTCAGAGCGCGACGGAGGGACTCCTCACTGAGGGTCGCAGATGTACCCACCAGGGACGATAGAGACATCGTCACCTGCATCTTCACTCGACTGAAGTTCTGTTATAAATAACACACTATATTAATAACATACAAGAGAAAATTGTAATGAGTACACTGAATATAATATTAATAGTAAACATCGGAGATAACGAAGAACTAAGATATTTCTAAATATTAAAAAATATTTTTATTTATACTCATAAAATTACAATACCATTATTGTTATATTTCATCAGTTTTTAAATTCAAAAACAAGATACTTTTATTTGAATATGCTGAAGTGTCCATGGTACTCGAAACATAAAACTTTGTTTCTAATACACTCGTTCCGTCTGCTACATGATTGGACTAAGCCCCGTAAATTGCTAATGCGCTGGAACCTTGACTAAATAACACCCGCGTGAGGTCATATAAAAATAGAAAGTATAGACAGCACAAAAGGCAAGATATAAATTATATATTAATTATTAAAATATTTACGAATAATACCCAAAATATTGTTATAATAATTATATGAAAGATATTAGATATATTTATTATTAGTGAAATTATTTTTACTTATTGTGAAAATATTAATAGCATTTGCTATTTGTCAGCCATAACAAGTAACGACAAAACTTAACAACGACAATCGAAACAAAAAAAAACATAACAAAAATTAAATGTGATGTCAACACAACCCAACTCAATAAGTGTACTCGTCAACCAGTGCTTATTTGTTAACGGTGTTGATTTTTGAACGCAAGTACGTCATCAATATGGCGGCCAGGCGCATTAGCAATGCGAGGGTATTATAATTTAAGTCTGTGTGTAGCTGACATGGTGTGTTCCAGCTTGTAATGTATTGTTACGGCGGCAGATGGCGTTATGCGCCAATGAATCGCTTTAACACTGTTGACACAACTTGTGTCATATAGGTATACATCGGGTCGGCGAGAAGGCGACTGTCACTGTGCAAGAAAGGGATGGGTAAAAAGTTATAGAATAGCTCTAGAACATTTTAGTAATGCTTCGAATACACCGGTAGGGTCGAAGCCAACCTAGAATGTTCAAGATCCCACCTAGAACATTCTAGATGTGGTATCGGCCCCTATAACTACACGGTCGACTACTCGTTCCGGTATTCTTCAGTGAACAAATGATCAGAAAGCAAGAGCGGTCGGAAGCGAAACGCGAAGCGATAACTAGAACGGTAAACTAATAGTGTTGTGAAGTGTTATTAGTGACTTGAAATAGTGAAGTCGAAGTGTGTATTTTGTTGGATAATTTTTGTGTTAAATTAAGTCGTTTTGTGAATCATAATTGGCATTAATTCATATCCCGAACGCACTGTCGTAACAGTATGTACGCACGTTGCCCAGCTGGTAGTGCTGCCGCATGAGCGCGTACAGCGTGGCGCTGGCGTGCGCGCGCGTGGCGGCCGCGCTGGCGGCGCAGTGCCGCAGCAGCACGCGGCAGATGCCCCACTCCTCGCCGCAACAAGACCAACCCAGCTAACCAACATATACGCCGTCATACTTTATTTGTTTAAGCGTAAATAGTTAATGTTTGCTTTATTCTCCGGCCGTCCTTATGGATGGTTAAGGACGATGGGCCGTGACCCGCCACGCTGGCTCAGTGTATTTTGGAGGGTATTAACAAATGCAAATACAGCCGGGACCGACGGCTTAACGTGCCTTCCGAAGCACGGAGTAGCTCGAGGTAATAATTTTTTGGTCACCCATCCCGTGACCGACCCTTGCGAAATTTGCTTAAGGACAACGATCGCAGGCCGCGGCGCTTATTCACTACGCCACCGAGCTACTCTGTTTTATTCACTAACGATTTTAAATCAATTAGACAGTTTTGGATATCGCATTTGACTTGTAATGAGAATAGCTAAAAATAAAGGAATAAGCAATTTTGAATGTGTTGCAACAGTTTACCCTGACGATGAACGCTCGCACGGTGGCGAACATGTGCTGCAGCACGGCGGTGCTCTGGTTGCGCTGCAGCGCGCGCAGCACCACCTGCAGCGCCGCGCTGCACACCGTCTGCCCGTGCTCCAGGCTACTGCACGACTGCACGAGATATATTATATAACATTTATCATTCTATCCGTTTATGAGGGGTTATGGAGTTTCAGTCGACCGCAAAAGACCTAACGATTTACTGGACACAACCTCAAGTACTTCGAGATAAATAATGGGCATCCGCAAACTTAGTGTTCCAAAGATACAGTTGCATTGTATTTATACTGTCCTCCCGAGACTAAAACGCAGTAACAGCAAAATTTTTGTTATTTGAGTTTTTTTTTATATCGTCCGAAAACCCAATTCAAACCCTACAAGCCTAACCAATTCATTTTTTCTACTACTAGTAATAGTATTTTATTTAATTTTTTAAAATCAAGGTGTCAAATTTGTAAATTTATATGAAAGTATGCTAAGATTAAAACCTAATATGCAGTAACAGCTCACTTTACTGCATTTTAAATAGTTTAACAAACGATTTAGCAAAAAACTAAAAGTAGTAATACAGGTTAAAAAAATTAAAATAATAAATTTAGTTGTCATGTTTTCACCCTGAAATTTGTGAATTATTTTAATATTCTAACTTTTCCTAGGTTTCATTCTAAATTCGATCATAAACAGTGATTTGTTAAAATACATAACATTTAAACTTCGGCCCGGTTAGGTCCGGGACGGCAGTATACGGAATAAAACGGGGAGGGAGGGGGGGTGTAGGCTGAGCGGTGGTCTCACCTGCACGATGGTCTCGAGCGCGTGCAGCAGCGTGAGCGCGACCTCGGCGGCGAGCGCGGCGCTGAGGGCGGGGCGGGGGTGCGCGGGGGAGGCGGGCTGCTCGCGCGCGCCCCCCCGCACCCACTCCTTGCGCCACCGCTCGCGCTTGGCACCTCCAACGTTCGAATTGCCTGGTTACCCACCCACCACTATATGTACTAACACTACCACATACACGACAACGGGCGGGAGAGACATTCGTACTTGTAGGTAATATGCGAGCCAAATAAGAACGGGACTGGTAACGGCATTCACATTGCGCTTCAACTTCAGGGTGTAAGGTGTGCAAAGAAAGAACGAAAACGTTTATTGTTTATAAATCATAAAACGCGTTTAGGATGCCCCTTTTAACGCTGCGAAAAAATTGACAAATCTATATTTAATAAGGAAAAAAAGACCGAGAGACCGATTAAGTAAATATATTTTATTGATTCCCGATAAAGTTGTGATAAAACTTATTATAAATTCAATAATGTAAATTATTGTCCCGGAGCGAAGGGCCTTTCCCGCTGTTTCTCGTTGCTAGATGACGTTGTGTACCATCTAAATCGAGCTTACACCGTCTAGTTATACGACAGCAGGAAAAGGACGGGTAGCCGTTCAAGAAATGTAAGGGAATGCCGAAAATACACCGGTAGGGTCGATAAATACATGGCGAGCTGCCCGTCTCGGCATTCTTTCAGTAATCAGTGAACTGGATACAGGAGCAATAACAAGCGAAATTTAAAGCGATAATAAGTGCGGTGAATAATCTAGACTAGGGAAGTGACAGAGTGAGTGAAATATTAGTTGAAGTGTATATTTTGTAACGAATTATTTTTGTGATTTTTATTGAGTAAATAAAGTGTCGGATTGTGTACTTAATATCCGTTAATTTTTATCTCGAGCCGTAGCTCGTACCAATGTGTATAAAATTAAACGAACCCGTAAAGTATTTAGCAAACTTTATTTTCTTTGCTGTCGGTACTGAATGGCAGCTAATCCGATTCTATTCTCATTAAGCTCGCATAGTACATATCGACGTAAAACTGTAAAATTACTTAAACTATAGACTTATCCGAAGAATGGCTAACAGTTACAGAGTAGTTTCCTTCCTTAGCACAACGTCGCAATAACTTGTTTTATTATACACGAGGACTTCCTTCTAAGCGACTACTCTGCAGCTCGGAGATTATTTCAAAAACCATTATAAATATCAACACGTTTCTTAGTTCTTAAAATTATTATTTTTTAAAATTTTCAGTGTGATCGTATTCTAAAGATTACAATTTTACGTTGACGTATATAAAGTGTATCATAATATTCAAGCGGGTCGGGGACATTACACTATTTTATGCAAATCTAAAAGATTTAGTAAAGAGTCAAAGTTTAGAGACTATTTACTTTTGATATTAAAGCACCGATTTCCTTATTGGGTAAATATACACGGAGAGAACGGACTCTATAATGGATAAGACTATGGTAACAACATGTAAACGTGCATTCTGGCGTAGTCATCATGTATTACGAACATAGAGACAAAATGGGAAAAAATAATTAACTAACGTTTTTTGAGTAAATATCAAAGTATTTTTTTTTAAGTTGACAGCAAAATCTAAAATAGTTCCAATGCTACTAAGTACAATTATTGACAGCCATCTATTGAACATATGTTTACATACTATCATAAACAACATTTCAAAACAAAAATAAGTGCAATAAATGCAAGATATTCAAAAGGAGGTTTATATGCGAATATGCAAAGGAATAATAATCATATTTATACCTAAAGTGTAGTTTCCACGAATAATAATAAAATAATTATTTTCTAAGTGAAAAAGTTTATGAAAAATCATAAAGAAGATCCCAGTAAAAAAGAGAGTCAAGTAATATTTTTTAAGAAATCTATAGATTGAGTGTTCTTAAAAGATCTAGATTTAAATGTAATCCATGCATTTTTTTAAGATAAATAATTTGCTATGAATTTTGACTAATCTGTAAAGTCGTTCATATCATACCATTTTTCTTATTGAATTTCAAAATAGTACCTTTACGTCGCATGATGAAATCAGACCTGGCGGACCCTTGTCCCAAGATGACGTCTTCGAGTTTTGCTTTTATATCTGTGGTCTTTCGTACGTTTTGTTGAGCACATTTCATGATTTCTTTGCGTCCCTGTTGGATGAAAAAGAAATCATAAACCCATTTGAATTAACAAGTGATGACGGTTGATTAGTAGTAGGACAGATGATGGATAGGAACGGTAGGTAAATAGTAGATTATAATCGTTGGCAACATCCTGCCATCTGCAGGATACAGACACTCTGCCCCCGGCGCGCGGGAGGGGCGGCGGGGTGGGGCGGTCACCTTGTACTCCTGGCAGCGGAAGGCGAGGTCCAGTAGGGCCAGGAGCGCGTGCAGGCGGCGCGCGGGAGGGCGGCAGGGGTGGGGCGGTCACCTTGTACTCCTGGCAGCGGAAGGCGAGGTCCAGTAGGGCCAGGAGCGCGTGCAGGCGGCGCGCGGGAGGGCGGCAGGGGTGGGGCGGTCACCTTGTACTCCTGGCAGCGGAAGGCGAGGTCCAGTAGGGCCAGGAGCGCGTGCAGGCGGCGCGCGGGAGGGCGGCAGGGGTGGGGCGGTCACCTTGTACTCCTGGCAGCGGAAGGCGAGGTCCAGTAGGGCCAGGAGCGCGTGCAGGCGGCGCGCGGGAGGGCGGCAGGGGTGGGGCGGTCACCTTGTACTCCTGGCAGCGGAAGGCGAGGTCCAGTAGGGCCAGGAGCGCGTGCAGGCGGCGCGCGGGAGGGCGGCAGGGGTGGGGCGGTCACCTTGTACTCCTGGCAGCGGAAGGCGAGGTCCAGTAGGGCCAGGAGCGCGTGCAGGCGGCGCGCGGGAGGGCGGCAGGGGTGGGGCGGTCACCTTGTACTCCTGGCAGCGGAAGGCGAGGTCCAGTAGGGCCAGGAGCGCGTGCAGGCGGCGCGCGGGAGGGCGGCAGGGGTGGGGCGGTCACCTTGTACTCCTGGCAGCGGAAGGCGAGGTCCAGTAGGGCCAGGAGCGCGTGCAGGCGGCGCGCGGGAGGGCGGCAGGGGTGGGGCGGTCACCTTGTACTCCTGGCAGCGGAAGGCGAGGTCCAGTAGGGCCAGGAGCGCGTGCAGGCGGCGCGCGGGAGGGCGGCAGGGGTGGGGCGGTCACCTTGTACTCCTGGCAGCGGAAGGCGAGGTCCAGCAACGCCAGGAGCGCGTGCAGGCGGCGCGCGGGAGGGCGGCAGGGGTGGGGCGGTCACCTTGTACTCCTGGCAGCGGAAGGCGAGGTCCAGTAGGGCCAGGAGCGCGTGCAGGCGGCGCGCGGGAGGGCGGCAGGGGTGGGGCGGTCACCTTGTACTCCTGGCAGCGGAAGGCGAGGTCCAGTAGGGCCAGGAGCGCGTGCAGGCGGCGCGCGGGAGGGCGGCAGGGGTGGGGCGGTCACCTTGTACTCCTGGCAGCGGAAGGCGAGGTCCAGTAGGGCCAGGAGCGCGTGCAGGCGGCGCGCGGGAGGGCGGCAGGGGTGGGGCGGTCACCTTGTACTCCTGGCAGCGGAAGGCGAGGTCCAGTAGGGCCAGGAGCGCGTGCAGGCGGCGCGCGGGAGGGCGGCAGGGGTGGGGCGGTCACCTTGTACTCCTGGCAGCGGAAGGCGAGGTCCAGCAACGCCAGGAGCGCGTGCAGGCGGCGCGCGGGAGGGCGGCAGGGGTGGGGCGGTCACCTTGTACTCCTGGCAGCGGAAGGCGAGGTCCAGTAGGGCCAGGAGCGCGTGCAGGCGGCGCGCGGGAGGGCGGCAGGGGTGGGGCGGTCACCTTGTACTCCTGGCAGCGGAAGGCGAGGTCCAGTAGGGCCAGGAGCGCGTGCAGGCGGCGCGCGGGAGGGCGGCAGGGGTGGGGCGGTCACCTTGTACTCCTGGCAGCGGAAGGCGAGGTCCAGCAACGCCAGTAGCGCGTGCAGGCGGCGCGCGGGCAGGTCGGCGGCGAGGGCCCCGAGCGTGGCGTGGGAGACCCACTTGAGCACCCACACCACGCACATCACCAGGTTGCGGCTGGTCTCGCTGTTGAACGGCGGCCGCGTCGACTGCACAATACGAATCACCATTGAAAAGTTTCATCGGTAAACGCTTCGTATATAATTGGCTCCTTGACAGTTATTACAATAGATTATGAAATATGTTAAAAACGA